TTAGATGTGTGTAGATGACGCGAGTGTAGAATATTACTTACGTTGATTTATGATCGTTGTTTGTTGTATTAGTTCTCGCGCTTGTAATGGTAGTTTTCCTCTTGTTATGAATACACACAGGATTATAGAGTATTATGTATTGCTTAAAAAGTGTAGATTTACATTGAATGAGCTTTTGTATATCTAGTATATAGCTATGTACTTTTTTAATAATGTACTAGGCGAGCTCTCTGATCTGAGAAATGGATAAAAACATAGTTAAAAACATAATGAGTCTCTATAAATATTACCCATAACTCATCCTCTGATCGATTACATCAAATAGGCGCTCAGATCTGTAATACTATTCTTGTTAGTAGTGTTGTTCTCCTACAACATTGTAAATCTACACCTTTAATTATGGAAAATTTAAATATTAACAAAATACAATGTATATAACTTTAAACCCCAATACCGTAGACTGAACTCTAGACACTGTTAAACTTCACTAATATTAGAGTAGACCTACTCGGTGTGAAATAAAGTTACTCCTCAAATTGTTGGAGATACCAACAATGTTTGTACTATGAATGCTATTCGAACATATATACTCTAAGCACAAGATGTATGATTAGTGATACATTATATGTGCTCTACTGTAACACTGAGATTACAGTGTGAATCTAACATAACACCTACCATGAGCACCATGCTCTATGTCACACCTTATGTGCAGACACCACCTCCACGCACAAATATAAGTTGTCTCTATACCCTGAGTGATCAAGATCTGGTCTACATTGTCGATATGAAATGATACAGTTATCCCTCCTCGTCTGATAATATCTATTAGCATAAGTGTAATAAATACGTATATCCTATCAACATAGTCCAATTATATGTGAACCACACCCATCTATCTAATACACTGTTACATGCCATTACGCATGTCTCTAGTACAGTGAGATTCCAGAAATACAGAATGCCATCTAATGTCACAGAATACTCACACACTCACAGAATCCCACACTCATATAAAGTTCCCTCACTATGTTGACCATCCTAGATATAGCTCTCTCGTATAACTACTGCACCTCGTGATAGTTAAATTTTGATAGAGATATACAGATTGATATATCATTGCAGGGCTAGATCTAGAGAAATGTATCTGTGGAATACGTCCACGTTGTGTCAGCTAAGAAATCCTATCCAGAGGCCACCGTAATTCTATGTCTATAAGCACTCTGGATCTATAGATCTAGAACGTCTGCAACATCTTTCATGCTAAGTTGAGTTGTCCATGTTTGTTAGCTCTACAGAGCACATTTGCTGAGTTGTCTTCGCTGAGTGTGTGTCTAGAAGACCGCATGCATGAGGAACTCCTGCAGTAAGAAGAAAATGCGACGTTCGTAAAATGTCGCGTGACGTTGTTTATCCCAATGATAACATCACTTCTCTGTTGACAGATCTATATAGTTGTAGTGCTACTATAAACAGAATTGATCAATCGACACCTCACATGAGCTCCATGTGAATCATAAAATGATGTCCCGAGACAGATCTCTAGTGATGTAAAGAACTCCAGAGTATATTTAAAGAGGGACTTATCAGAGGCCGCTAAAGACTGTATGTTGATATTTATAGAGATAGAGTCATCAAGCTAGGTATTATTGTAAAAAAGTCCAGTCCTACATACTACTTGACGATGTTTGTTGTGAGATGTTATAATTCCGCATTAGTGTTAATGTATATCTCTAATATGTACTCCTGACGTGTCATAAGTAAGAGACTACTCTCCATTATTTAAACTATCCACCACGTACCTTCTCATAATAAGAAAATTAAATCTGTACTCCACCAGCTGTCAAGATAGAGCATCAGGCATGTGGTGTGACTGAAATAAAATGTCTGTGTTATGTGTGTGATTTGTTCTATGTTACGCGACTGACACCCTGATATCCAATATCAGCTCAATAAGTACTCTTGTCTATACTGTGTGTGTGATTCGAGTGTGACTGATTCAATTTGTCACCTAGGTCTATCTCAACTCAACTGTTTGTTCACTCTAATAATTGGTGTTCTACCATATCATATACCTCTCCTTTACCGAGACCAAGATCGCGCCTCTATAGTTAGAGTTCGAGACTACTGTCTCGTGAGAAAGAAATCTCCGCAGTGTCTACAATAGTATCAGATATCGCTCTAGCAATTAGAGATCAAAATGTAAGTGTGATGGAATTTGAAAACTAATGATAACGCTGCAAGGTATAACGTCTTGGCCTTTATCTATGATAGATTGCTGCATCCTATCACTATTAGTAAGAATCTCTTCGTAGAGATAGATATTACAGGATCTGTACATACTACATTAGTACACACACATAAAAGTGGATGTATCATACTTATTGTTGTAGACAAGTTTAAGGTTTGATCTGTGTATTTGTTGCCCTCTCAAATATAATCCCTGTGAATGTTGGAAGTGTGTCGAAAACTCAGAGAGAAAAGAGATCTCGAGAAGTCTCGTACACGCCTGTAAGAGTATGCTAATGAAGTGTCTGAAGCTCACAGTAAGTGCGTGTGCCTGACCGTCTGTATAGTAAAATATGTTCCTCATAGTTGGGAAATATCTCATATCTGACTGAGTTGGCTGCAGTCACTATCCAGTTCTCTCTCTCACTCTCTATCACAAGAAAAGTGTTCTCTCATTAAAGACGTATACATGATGTAACATCTGCACAGAAGTAATGTGCTAGTCTCTCGATAATGCTTGTAATAAATGTCATATGAGAGAGGAATACACTAAATCACGCTCATATGTAGTTGGTCATGATAGCAAAATAGTGTGTGCGCCGAATCAGATCACAAACGAGTGCGAGTCGACCAATCCAAGATGAGAATGATACATCAGTTTCATCATCTGTGTTGAAGATACACTCCATATGACTAGACATGGCACCTCTGAGACCCAGAACCCGTATCACGCTGTAATGTGAGTCCCCTCCCCCAAAATACTGATAGTATGTACGACCCTGCTTCCTATATACATCTCACGAAATATATATATCTCTTAGCGTGATTCGTGCGAAGACGTTGATTACTAGAGATAGGAATACCTAGACTAGTTAACAGACTAAACTGCACGCACCACTACTCACCTATGAAATATTTTGTTACTAGAATAGCCACACTAGGATATAAACATGTACAGATAATACACATGATAACCTCACTCTGTAACCTCCTCTCCGCTTGAAAAGCTCTCCGCATCAGCCTCACACACAATCCCCGCCCTATCTGCCTGTATATTATAACCCTTCGCTATTCTAATCAGTTGCGCGCCGCTCGCTCGCGACATAGCGCTCATCCAGCCTCGCTCGCCGCTACCTGAGTCATAACAAGAGTTCCCCTAATACCGCCTACTACCGGCAAGAGAATCTCTTAGCGTAATGTCACGCGGCCCCTTCCCTCTCTGTGTAGCTGCTCCTCTCTTCCCTACATTACAAACGCCATAATGTCATTGCACCACACACAGAACGCACCCGTCTAGATCCCCCACTACACATATCTCTATTATCTATAATCCCTAAAGATATGCAATAAATGAAACATTTTTCAGAAAAATATCATTACAGTCTCCTAAGCTAACGCTAAACACAGTAGAGAATAGTGTCAAGAAAATGAGATTATACATCACCTGACCTATAAAGATAACTATGTCATAAACGCTACTATTGAGTGCTAAACGCGATAGATAATCCGATAATAAAATCTTAGATAACAGAGCCTAAGACCAACTCATTGATACTACATAAAGAATCAAGTTCGCTCCGCTAAACAACCTATCCTACTTCTCAAAAACAATCAACCTTTTTAGAACGTGCGTCTACCATTAGATTGTCATATTCTCACATCTGTGCAAAGACGTATGTCAATTTACCAATATCTCAGTTGAGTAAATATACGTCAATCCTCATATTAGCTCGGCACGATGTTGAGTCGAGATACCGAAACCCAGTCCACGTATCGACGTTAAAAGGCTGTACTCACTACAGCTTCCTTAAAAACCATGTGCCTCTACTCAGAGATCGATAGTACTCTCTACGGGCAGACAGATATACCCCTCTCTACACCGCGTCATTCAGAGGCTAAACCGCAGATACAACGATATTCTCCCCATTCTATTACTCCCGCGCGCTACAACTTGGCCACGTGAGAGAGAGCTCACCCAAACCCATCCTAGAGACGCGTCCAGGAGCTGTGCCCTGTGCCACCCATCGGGCTCACCCCCCTCCCACACCCGTCACCGTCCCTCTCTCATAAATAGTGCACGCGAGACACCTTTCTCGTCCATATAACTATCAACTGGAACAGAGTACTAGAGATAGCTCCTGAATAAGGACTAATAACTGGCACGTCTCGCTAGTCGCTCAGGTCTTTTCACACTCCCACACACACACTACACCACCACGGATCCACGTACGTGCGAATCCTGCTATATTCCATGTTGGCATTGTCAATCCAGTGTCACCTTGCTTCACACACTCAATTACTGCTCCCTCGCTAACCCCCATTATTCGCCACCCTTCATCCGGGTAGAGTCCCTGCGGGTACCCATACGCTTGTCCGTGAGACGTTGCTCTTACTACATCATCCATCTATTCGTCCACCCCTATGATAACTTACCTACATCTCTCTAACAGTGCAAGCACCAGGGACGCCCTCATGAGGGCGCAATATCGCGGCTAGTTCGCTGGCAGGCTCGATCGCTAGCCAACGTAAGACCACTTATTAGCTCACATGGTGCTGTTTCGCCCAGTGGCTCTTACGCAAGCCCCGCCCTTCGCTTGTGCAGCTATACTAATAATATCACCCTATAACAAATACCTTTTTTTACTCTCGTCGCTCTACACTTCATAAACTAATTACTTTTCTAATGTAATCTTTTAGCCACACACATCCGTCCGTACGCAACTCACCTTGGACCCCACTACAGCTATACCCGTTTGACAGTGCGGCTATCACTAACCGACTACTGTTCTCTTCACCTCGCTACAGCTCACACATTTTCGCGCGCGAGTACCACTGATGGCTGCGTATCTCGAAAACACATGCTGAAACAAAATACTGGGATTAGACTCTTCGCGCAATAATTAAACATGCCTTATATAAAGGCTCCATAGGACATGGAAGAAAAGGCAGTTAAAATTTTTTTACGAGTACCTTATCACAATATCACATCGATATCCCAGATATTTCAACACTTTTCCCTGAAATTTCTTGTTCTAAAGTAGGAACCGTGACACCAGAATTTTAATTATTTAACTTCAACTTGAGTGTTGTACTAATCATACTTATTACTCTTGTAAAGGAAACCTGTACCGTCGGCACTGCTGAGAAAAGTTAGACTCACAAACAATTAACCAACTCAATATAACAAAATTAGACTCCTTGATAGCCGCAGGAATATTATCCAAAGCACCAACAAGCCGATTGCGCGGGTACGTCCTTGGTAGTTATTCCCAAAGGCAGGGGTCTCCAAAACTACGGCCAAGCACCTTAAATTCGGCCCTGTGTAAAGTTTTCTTTGATTATATGGTAAAAATTTTAAAAACTATTTTAAAATATGAATTTTTACCAATTATCACACGACGAGGTTTACTAAACATTTATTGCATGAGTTTATTTCTCTAAGAAAGCTCATTTGCACAGCTGAAGTGCCTTTATAGAACGAGATTTTTTTTTTTATCACATGCTATGTCCCACTGGACTTGGGTCGAGGTAACCCTATGCAGTTGAACTTGGGTGGATGTTTACCATGCGGTTGAACTTGGGTAGAGGTACAATGTGGCACTTTGAAGCCAAAAAAGTTTGGGAGATCCCTGATTTTAAAATCATTAATAAAATCAGGAAGTTTAAATTTTTATTAAAAATAATTTTC